TGAAATACATGTTTGCAAATGTACTGTAATGCTCTCTGTAAAAGTGTTTTGAACAAGTTCAAAGCAGAACATCCTTTTAGTATAGAAATCTGAAAATCACTGCCACCACCTAAAGCGTAAGCAACTTGAAAATAAAATGACTTTTGAAATTAGATTGCATGCTAAAAGGAACTCTGCCAGAGTTTTCAAACCAAAACTTTGTTTGAAATCCTCAAGTTAAAGCGAGATTTTCCACTTCAGCATTCACAGCATGGCAGCACACATTGCAAAACATTGCCTTCCTGACTATGATTTTCTGTTCGTGTTAGACTGTTTTCCAGTCAACATTCCCAGCAGATTTGACTCTATGCCTGCCATGCAGAAGTATCAAGATCCACCTCAAATGCCACCAAACAGAATCTGTTGTCCTCCAATTCAAAATGGCAAGTTTAGTAAAAAGATGTTCTAACTACTCCTTTCTCTTTCGTTATTAATCTTGCTTTGATTGAAATGAAGAACATATTTATTTAGCATCTTCCAGTGCTTTGGGATGTCCCAAAAGTGCTTCACAGCCAATGTGGTTCTTCTGAAGTGCAGTCAAGCTTACAGTTAAAGGATTGCCACACATTTAATTTGTGTATTTAAGCGCTTTGATTCCATTCCAAACATAACAAAAGTCCTTCCGTAAGGGTGGTTTATTATGACTGAGTACATTCTTTCATGACATTCAAGAAATTCGTCCAGATTGATTATTTTGAGGCGTTATTGCAAGATCAGTGGTACAAATGTTTCAACATAGCAATTTTTCTCAAATGTTAATATCAAACCTAAAACCACTTTCACACTGGGGTTTAGGTTTCAGACAGGAAATATGGACGTTCAGTTCTCCCGCATATTACTGCATTTTTAGTGTCAAAGTTTAAACTTCAGAGTTGTGATTGACATAATTTATTTTTAATAGGAGAGATTTTAGTCAACATTTTGTGAGTTTTGTTTCTTGGCAGGAACAAAGTGAGCCCAATTGACAGGCTTGACCTCCAGTCATCTGGGGAGCATTCCAGTGCAGGGTGCAGCTGGGCACTTGTACAGAGAATACAGGGTTTGGGGATGACCTATGGAAGGATTAATCTCAGAAAAGGAATTTAACTTTGGCAGTAAGAGAACTTCATCTTTGACTCTAAAGCAGTTGCATTTTTATTGGGATATTGGCGCCACTGACTGGTCCAACATTTATTGCTCATTCCTGTTTACCCTTGGGAAGGTGCTGGTGAGCTGTTGAGCTGCCACCTTGACCTGCAGCTCTACATGTGTAAGTGCATCCATAATGCCATTAACAAGTGAGTTCCAGAACTTTGACCCTGCCACTGTGAAGGAACGACTATGTATATTTCCCAGTCTGGGTGGTCAGTTGCTTGGAGGAATACTTGCAGGTGATGGTGTCCCCATGTATCTGCTATCCATATTCTTCTAGGTGGGAGTGATCATAGCTTTAGAAGACGCTGTTGAAGGAACCTTGGTGGATTTCTGCAAAGCATCTTGTAGATAGTACATACTGCTGCTACTGAGCATCAGTGGTGGAGGGACTGGATATCTGCATATGTGGTGCCAATCAGGTGGGCTGCTTTGTCCTAAATAGTGTCAAGCTTCTTGAGTGTTGTTGGAGCTGCACTCATAAAGGGAAATGGGGTGTATTCCATCTAATTCCCGAGTTGGGCTTACAGAGAGTGGACAGGCTTTAGAGAGTCAGGAGGTGAGCTACTCACCGCAAGCTTCCTAGCCCCTGACCTGCTCTTGTAGTCACAGTACAGATATGACTAGTCCAGATCAGTGGTAACCGCAGAATGTTGATTGTGGAGGATTCAGCAATGTTGATGCAATTAAAGGTCAAGGGATGATGATTAGATTTTCTATTGTTGGAGATGGTCATTGCCTGACACTTGTGTGGCGCAACTATCACTTGCCACTTGTCAGCCCAAGCTAGGATATTGTGCAGGTCTTACTGCATTTGACATGGATCACTTCAGTATCTGAGGAGTTATGAATGGTGCCGAACATTGTCTAGTTATCAACAAACATCCCATTTCTGATGTTATGATGGAGGGAATATAATTGGTGAAGCAGCTGAAGATGTTTGGGCTAAAGCCTCTACCTTGAGCAGCTCCTGCAGTGAAATCCTGGAGCGGAGATGACTGACCTCCAAAAACCTCAACCGTCTTACTTTGTGCCAGGTATGACTCCAACCATCAGAGCGTTATCCTACTGATTCCATTTTTGCTAGAACTTCGATTTAAATGTGGTCTTGTTGACAAGAACAATCACTTGCACCTCAGCTCTGGGTTCAGCTGTTTTGTCCATGTTTGAAGTAAGGTTGTAAGGCACCACCTTCTCCAGCAATTTGGGTGAGGATAAGTGACAACATATGCTGGCCTTACACACACCTTCTGGGGATTTGTATTCTTTTTGCTCTTCTGTGCAGTGAGGGCATCACTGGCAAAGCAATCATTTGTGCCCATTTTTAGTTGACCCTGAGGAAAAAGTCTTTGTTGAACCACTGCCGCTCATGTGATACAGGCACAGCCCCAACAGTTAGGAAGCAAGTTCCAGTATTTTGCCCAGTGCCAGTGCAGAAACAGCAATTATATCAGGATGATGCATTGCTTGGAGGAGGACTTGCAGGGAATGGTGTTCCCAGATTTCTGTTAGCTTTGTCCTTTGGAGTGGTTGAGACCATGGGTTTGGAAGATGCTGCCAAAGAGCCTTGGGAAGTTGCTGCAGTTTATCTAGCAGATGATACGTTCTGCTGTCACTCTGCATCAGTGGTAGAGGGAGTGAGTGCTGAAGGTGGGTTCTGTTGGAAAACCATTGACGGCAGGAAAAATATGCAGAATGATGGTCCAACTGGTACTTGCAACCTATAAGGATGCCAAGAAGAGAACCTTTTGTCTTAAAGGACAGTACTGGCTTTTCAATCAAGTACATATGAAACCTTGGAGGCAAAAGGACGTTGCAGCAGTAGCAGGATATTGTATAAGATGATTGATAATATAAAGAGAGAAGGACAACACTGAGACTATAATTTACTGAATCCATTGCAGAATAATGACATAGGTTGGCAGAACTCTTAGTAGAGCTAGAGTATGCCTTTATTTTATTTGTTAATGGCATTGCTGATGGTGTACTCGAAGTTGTTATGACATTAAGTTTTGAAATATGAACAGTTGTGGCTAATTTAGTGGCCGTCAATGCAAGTTAGATAATCACATTTCATGTCTTCAAATATAACAGGGCTGTGCAAATCACATGTCTGAATAATGCTTTCATTGATAAAGGGTGTCTTTTGTAATCTCTCACCTACATGGTGATTCAAAACCAGAATGGGAGTAGGAGTTTAGGCAGGGATCCGGGAGGAAAGGAGAATGGTGATCACTGCTGAATCTGATCATATCTTCAGACTTCCCTCAGAAGCAATTGGGAATGGGAATCCTGGTTGTCCAACTCCTTTGTCTATCCAACTGCTCTTCTCTCTCCTTCGGGCTCTATCCTTTATCCTATTGTTTAGTCCCTACCCCAACCCCCTCCCTATTTGCTGCATACAAACAGCCGTTTTCCAAGCTACCATCAGTTCTGAGGAAGAGTCACCGGACCCGAAACGTTAACTCTGATTTTTTTCTTCACAGATGCTGCCAGACCTGCTGAGCTTTTCCAGCAACTTCTGTTTTTGTTCCTGGTTGCCTGTTCCTTTTTCTGTGTTTCTAGGTATGTGTCACCAGTTCATGAATTGGAGTTAAATTCATTCATGTGAAGCCTCAAAATGGCGGGCAGGAAGCTTGCCCAGCTTTCTAATCAAAAATACACCCCTGTGGGAGAATTGGGGCCGAGGGAGCAGCAACAAGAATAAATAAGAAAGATATAAACAGTTCACACAATTGGTGCCTGCTCCTAAGTTCCCAAACTTCTGAGCACCTGCCCCCCTTTGCCCTGCCTATGACAACCAGGCTCCTGGATGTTCCCAATTCACTTGTATTGGTCCAAAGCTGTACCACTACCTTCCCAGTGCTGTCCCATCCTGTGGCGGTCTCTTAGTTGTGATGTGATCTAAGGCTCATTATCTGGGGCTAATCAAACTCCCCCATTTGTGAGTGGTGGGTTATAACTCAATTTACATGTTGGTCTTGAGGGGATGGTGATGGGCATGGGCATGTGGAAAGGTGGCTTCTTTTAAACCAAACTGTTGGAACAACCATTCCAGTAATTTACAAGGGTTGATTGGCTTATTATCTGTTTGCAAAGCTATAAAATACTGTGATGGTAATATAAAAATATTCTGTTATATTAGGTACGCACACATATACGTAAACTGAGTAACCTTATACTACATGGAAAAAATCTTGATTTTATTATGTGATTACTCCAGCAGTTCAAAAATCCAATCTTAATCTTTTGTGAGCATTGGAAACTAGTTGCTGTAGTCCTACTAGACCATAAAGTTGCTCTCTTATTAGGGAGAGATGTCTAAGTCGTGGTTTAACCTGAGGGTGACCACACCTCTCACAAGAGGAGAGATTGAGAAGGAGAGTCCTTGATGGTAAACTCAGCTAGCGTGAGAATTAAGCCCACACTGTTGATGTTACTCTGCATTGTAAATCAGCCGTCCAGCCAACTGATCTAACCAGGTTCCTACTGGGAATTAACTAGAAGTGCGGACCAGTTGGACTGAGTGGTTTTGTTTGTTTCTATTCCATTGTTTTGGCCCTTGAATTATGCTCCATTATTATTATTTTTACTGAGGCCACGACTTCTGGCAGTGCCCAACAGCTGAGTAGCAAGTCTGTAAATTGCTTGAGTATGTTCAGAAATGCCAGTCACCTGCTGTTTCTGAGCAATAGATTTCCCTCAGACCGTACAGAAGATAGCCTTCAATAATTTGCACCCTTGTAGATGTAATTTTTTTTATTGAAGAGCTAGTACAGATTCACAAGTGAAATGACCATTGATCTCGCCGGGGTTTGCTGAATTAACAGGGAGATCGCCAAATTCGTTCAACGGGGACCACAGGTGAAGTATATCCAATGACTTCACCACAGCCAGCAAAGAGGAAAGGAAAGAAGGAACAAGTGATAACTGGAGGAGAATCAGTGTTCCATGCAAAACCCATCAAAGTGAGGAATGTGAAGGAGGAAATTGGAAACTCAAAACTTATTCAGCACGATGGTAAGTTATTCTTTAATATTTTACATTACATTTTGTGCAGAATTTTGTCACAGCATTTGAAGAGAGTCTCAGAAATTTAACAGTGCATGTACCAATCAAAGATAGCAAGAACTGTAGATGTTGGAGTCAGAGATAACACAGCGTGGAGCCGGAGGAACACAGCAGGACAGGCAGCATCAGAGGAGCAGGAAAGTTGACATTTCGGGTCGGGACCCTCCATGAGAAAAGCATCCTGACCTGAAATGCCAGTCACCTGGTGAAGGGCCCTGACCCAAAACATCACCTTTCCTGCTCCTCTGATGCTGCCTGGCCTGCTGTGCTTCTCCAGCTCCACACTGTCTTATCTCTGTCAATATATTTCTTTTCACCACAGCCACTTTTGTCAATCAAATTAAGTTACACTCACTGAAGCAGTAACATGTACGATGGAGGCAAATTGTGCTGGGGCAGATGATGGATCCCATCCACCAAACAAGAATTACCTCTACTTATTATATATCTCGGTTGTCACCTTCTTGAATTCTCTGCCTAAAGGCAGATCTGACCTACAACAGCATGATCTCCACCACCAGGTCGGGCAAGGTGGCAGCTCCAGAAATCTACCTGAGCCAGAATTGGGATTAAATTCCATGTGGTTGGCATCAATGTGATCCACACCCAGCCATTCAATCAACTGAAACAACAGCCTCCTCCTGCCCTCCCCATCCCAAAGGAATTGAGTTGCTCTGGCAACGTACACTTTTAAATGTATGTTTCAAGCCATAGCTGTGAATTGTGACAACAGAGACTCCAATTTCCTAACGTCATATTGTTGACCAGGACCAACGCCCTCTCTTACCACCTGCCGCTGGTGTATGTTGGAAATATTTGCAAGCTGATTCTTGATTTGTCTGTCCATGTCATGAATGTGCCCTCCTTGACCAATGGTTCTTAGAGGGGGACTTAAACCCAGATCCTCTGGATCAGAGGCAGTGACACTACCAACTGCATCTCAAGACTTCCTTATATCCCATACATTGGGCTGGATTTCACAATCAGAGGTGAAGCAATGGATCTTGCTGCTAACTTCAAAGAAAGCTGTCCATAGAGACCTAACAACCTAATAGTATGGACTTGCTTTTTCCTATTGCCAGTTTGAATGTGATGTTGAGCCAAATGATCTCCAGGTTTGCTATCATCAAGCAAAATAAATGGCCAATCACATTGCAGTATTTCTTACAGCCATCAAATCAAGAAATTGAAAACCGATTAATTCCTTTGCTTCACTTTTAAATTTTACAGTTAGTGAAATAAATGATTGGGACATGCACATGGGATTAAAGTAGAACTAAAGTATCATTTCTAGCTTGTATAAAATGTTTAATGTGGTATTTCTTACAATGCTGGAGAAATTTGATATTCAACAAGCATACATCACACTTTCAGGGCCAGTCAGCCTGTATAACAGTCATTATGAATTCAGCACATTGTTAAAACCTTCAGCTACACTTCATTCAACACAGTGTAACAGAAAACAGGAAACCCACACTATTGTGTGACAGGCATGTTATTTGCTCCTTCTTAGCCCGGGCTTAAATGTTGTTCAGGTCTAGCTGTATATGCAGTTTCTATGGAGTTACGAATTGCATTGAGCACCCTGTGATCAGTGAATGCCCTCCCTTCTGAATTTAGGTTGTTGGGAAGTTCATTGATGAAACAGCTGAAGGTGGTTTGGCACAGGACACTATCCAAGGTTGAAATGATTATCTGGTGATCTTCCATTACATCACTCCAACCAGAGGAAACTTTTTCTCACAATTTTTTTTCCAATTGCTTCAGCTTCAGTAATCCCAGCCTCATTACTGGGAGCTACCAGTAATGTAGCTGTACTGGAACAGCTTGGCTTGGGAGGTGGCTAATTCTGGAATATGTCTTTTGCAATACATGAGGGTGCTGGCCAGGCCTATGGCTATTGTTAGATCCAGCACACTCAGCTGATTCTTCTTATCATGTGGTGTGAATTGAATTCATTAAAGACTGTTATTTGTGCTGTTGGAGACCTCAGACGGAAGTTGAGATGGACCATCCACTTGTCACTTCTGACTGGACTGACACAAACATGTCAGCTTTCTCTTTTGCACTGATGGAATTGGTTCTTCCAACATTCAGGATGGAGGTATGTGGAAAGAAGCCTCTTCTTGTTAGTGGTTTGACAGTCTACTATAATTCTCAACCGGATATTGCAGGACTGCAGAAAATTGATCTAATCTGTTGGTTGTGGGATCACTTAAATCTGTATGCTGCTTCTCCTGTTTTGCACCTCCTGTCATCCTGTGTTGTAACTTCATCAGGTTGACGCCTCATTTTTAGTATGCCTGATGCTGCTCCTGGCATTTCTTCTGTGCTTCACATTGAACCAGTGTTGATTCCATGGCTCGATGTTAATCATAGGGGAGATGCACCCAGTATGCGATTACAAACTATAGTTGAACACAAGTCTTTTGATGCATTTGCTGGCCAATATCACCTCAAGAATGATCAGTTCTGAGTTGCTAGGTCTACTCTGAATCTATCCTGTTTAGCACAGTCATATTACTGTAGAGGGTCTCCTCTCTTTTGAAATCTGAACTTTGTCTCAACAATGACCATGATCAATGGGTATCCTGCTGGTACTCTTGTAATTAGATGAATCTGTGACAGCTAGATTGGTGAGGACGAGGTTGAGTAAGTTTTTCCCTCTAGTTGGTTCTTTCATCATCTGCTGTAGACACAATCTGGCAGAAACTTCTGTCAGGACTCAGCCAGGTTAGTTAGTACTGATGCTACCTAGCTACTCTTGGACATTGAAGATTCCCATCCAGAGTACACTCTGTATGCTTGTTACCCTCAGTGTCTTTTCTAAGTATTGTTTAGTCTGGAGGAGTGGTCAGAGAGATGATAGAATCCCTACATTGGGCTGAATGGCCTGTTTCTACATCGAGTGCTGAATCATCAGCTGAGGTGAGCAGTAGGTAGAAATCAGAGGCTTCTTTGCTCATGTTTGAATTGGTCCTATGAGGCATCATAGGATACACACTCAATTTTGAAGGTTTCTAGTGCCACACCTTGTTGACTGTGTACCACTGTAGCAGCACCTCTGGTTGTTCTGACCTGATGTAACATTTTGGGAAGTCTTCAATGGCACACATCTGGAGAAGCATTGAATCATGCACAGTAACATCTGGATTTAACTGTTTTAACTGTGGATCTGTGGATTCCAGCAATTACGTTCAGTTTCTGAGAAGCAGTGACATTGAGTCATCATATTAGTGTTTGTGAGAGCTTGCTGTGCAGAAATTGGCTCCTTGTTTTCTCCATTACATCAGGAATTATGCTTCAGATGTGCTTAGTTGGCTGTAAAGTACTTTAAAAACCAAATCTTCCTATAACACAACTCAGCTGCCTTATCTCTCTCTCTCTTGCTGTATCAAAGTCCTAGCATTTACTTTGGTTCTCTTTTGTGCAGTACCCTTCATACATCAAACTCCTATTTGCAAGTGGTTGGTTTGTTTACTTTCCTATTTCTCTAACCCCCACTTTTGGTCACTTTAACTGTCATGTAATGCAGACTTGAATATACAAGTTAGATCATAGTCCATATCTTGAATTTTATTTCATTGCTGCAATTGTGACAATTTTCAGGAAAGACCAGGACATCTTTGTTGAAAAAACTGCTAGCATTTTCAGAAACCCTTTGTAAAAGACTGAAAGAGACTTGTGCTGTTGTATCATGAAAAATATTCAGTGAATTTAAATATCCCTTGGAACTTGTATTTATGTAGCATCATTCATGGCCTCAGGATGTCTCAGTCATATAGAGGACATGTATTAAAGGAAATACAGTTGCCAATTTGTGTACAGCAAGATCCCACAAACACAGATCTTCTGACTGTGATCTTGTTTGAGGGGTAGCTGTTGGTCAGGACACCAGAAATACTGTCCTACAGGTTGGTATAGTAAGCAATTATTGATTATTAATGTCCACGTGAGGGGGCAGAGTAGGCCTTGACTTAATGTGACTTCAGAAAACTGATTGAGTCTTTCAAAATAATGTGAACTGGCCGTATGCAGGTTCCTTTCCCCATTGCATCCCAACCTGATTGTAGTAATCTTTTCAAGGTTGTAGTATTGTTCCAAGTCATTGTATAATTTACAAACTTGTAGATAGTTTTCTCTATCACCTCTGTCATGGTAAGAAGTAAAGTTATGAGTGTCAGCGGTCCTGACAGGATTTCAATGTTAACTAGTTTCAACACAGACCTTTACTGTTAATAACCACACTCCACCAATGAGAACAAAACCAATTGCTTATCCAATTCAAGCACTATCTCATTACATTCTATTTAGTGAAGGAAGATGTTTGGAGAATTTTATTTTAGGTTTAAACTTTGAATGTTCTGTCAGAAACAATAGTCGGAGCAAAATGCATACGATGACAGGTGGTAAATATTTAAAAGAAAATTTGAAAAGAATATTAAGTAAGCAGTAAGGGCAGGAGGAGAAGATAAATGATGGGATCTTTCTGGGAATTAGCACAGACACTTTGGACCAAATGACCATATTCTGTGCTTTAAAATTCAAATGAGTGCCTTTAAAAAATGTAGTATTGAGATTCGTCTGAAGATGGCAGTGAAGAACTGTTAAATGTGTTGGAGACATCCGGGACTGTACATTTGCAAGCAACTGTGAATAATATTCTGAAAATGACAAACTAGGAGTTAACATTTGTGATTGACTAGAACATTCATCTTTCTTTCCTTATCTGGATATTTAGCATTTTTATTATTTCTTTTAAAATCTGCTTCCAATACCATTTGCTCTACTGATACATGTACTTGAAGTGACCATGGTACAGCCAAGACCAGCCAGTCCTTGCATCACCACACACTGCTGACCTTGCAGTTGAGTGCAGAATTGACCAAGACAGATGGCAGGCACCCTGGGCACAGTCTCTAGCCGTCGCCTGAAAATGTGTTTTCAAT